TGCCCTTGTCGCTGGTCGCGGCGCCCTGAGGGGACACGCGCGCGCCCCCCCCCCCCCCCTCCCCGTCGCCCGTCGTGGCGCCCTCGGGGGGCCTGCGCGCTGCACCCCCGTCGTTGACCCTGCAGCTGCACCTGGCCCCTGGAGCAGTCGCCCCTGCAGCAGCCGCCCTTGGCCCCTGGAGCAGCCGCCCCTGGAGCAGCAGCCACAGCAGCAGCCGCCCCTGGCCCCTGGAGCAGCTGCACCTGCAGCCGCCCCTGGCCCCTGGAGCAGTCGCCCCTGCAGCAGCCATCCTTGGCCCCTGGAGCAGCCGCCCCTGGAGCAGCAGCCACTACAGCAGCCGCCCCTGGCCCCTGGAGCAGCCGCACCTGCAGCCGCCCCTGGCCCCTGGCGCAGCCGCCCCTGCAGCAGCCGCCCCTGGCCCCTGGAGCAGCCGCCACTGTAGAAGCCGCCCCTGGCCCCTGGAGCAGCCGCCCCTGCAGCAGCCGCCCCTGGCCCCTGGAGCAGCCGCCTCTGCAGCAGCCGCCCCTGGCCCCTTCAGCAGCCGACCCTGCAGCTGCCCACGACGCCGCTCCTGGACCCTGTGCAGCCGTGGGGGGAGGGTATGGGGGTGGCGGGTGTGGGGGTGATGAGTGTGCGTGCTACCCTTCCCCTCCTCCTCCTCCCTCTTCGTCTCCCGCTGCTGCAGCTGCCGCTGAAGGGGGGTGGATGTGTGGGAGTCGAGGGGAGTGGAGCTAAGGGGGTGTCGTGGGAGTGGAGACAGGGGTGCAGCAAGGGGGTGTGTGAGAAGGGGGTGTGGGACTATTAGGGGAGGTTGAGCGGAGGTCACCGTCGTGTCGTCAGCAGCGCCAGTAGTCCGGAGGCTACAATCTCCGGTAGCCCAGCGAGCCTGCTGCGCCAGTCGCCCGTGGGTCCGTTGCTCCTGCAGCTCAGAGTTAGTCGCGGAGCCAGTTACTCCAGTAGTCCGGAGGCTACAATCTCCGGTAGCCACAGTGCGCACCGCTCCTGTTGCCCGTGTTTCTGCAGCTTCACGTGTCGCCTCCTATCTCCACTCCTCTCACAGTCCCTCCTCCTCCTCGCTTTCCTTCTCCTTCTGCTGCGCTTGGTGTACCCCTTCAGGGGGTGTCTCTGCATTGGCTTCCTGCTGCAAGCAGTTTAGGGGGTGTGTTGAAATATATTTCTTATATAAACTGCTTGTAGCGGTAGTTAGTGTAGTGTTACATTGTTTGGTGGTGCACCTTGCTTGCTTTGACTATATCCTTGTACCTTCTCTCTTTATTGAACACCTTTTTCCTTTGCTACTCTCTCGACATTCCTCTTGAACCCCAAAACCTAAGCTACTAAACTACCATAGCCATGGCTACTAAGCCTAGCTGTCCTTAGTAATTTTAACAATAACGTGCCCCAAAAATTCTAGCCTCTCCTAAAAAAACTCGCACTTGGAACCCTTGGTCAGTAGTCTGTGTTTGTCTAAAACTGTAAATACTTCTTCTAAACCGGCTAAGTGTTGCTGCTTATCCCGACTGTAGACTAGGATGTCGTCGAGGTAGATGATCACACATTTATCTAAGAGTGGCCTAAACGCCTCGTTCATTGTCATCTGGAAAGTCGCTGGTGCGTTGTTCAGCTCGAAAGGCATCACCATATATTCAAACGACCCGTACCTAGTCCTAAAAGCGGTCTTGGCACAGTCCGACGGTTCGACCCTAATCTGGTGGTAACCTCCTCGTAAGTCAATTTTCGAAAAGACCCGTGCTGTTCGCAGTTGATCTATCAGCTCGTCGGCGCGGGGGATGGGGTATCGCGATTTAACTGTAACCCTGTTCAGTGCTCGGTAGTCGATACACATGCGAAACCCTCCGTCCTTCTTCGGTGTGAACAGGATCGGTGCGGCGAATGGCGATGAGCTCGGTCGGATGTTTTTCTTCTCTAACAGGTAATCTAACTGCTTCCTCAGCTCATCGAGCTCGGGCTGTGTCAGTCTGAACTGTCGCTGTACGGTTGGCTGTGCCCCGGGCTCTAATTCTATTCGGTGATCGTGCGCCCGCTAAGGTGGCAGTCCCTCTGGTAGGTCATCGGGGAAGATCCCCGGGAATCGTTTCACCAGTTCCTGTAGTTCCGATGGTACTGCCGCCAGTAGTTTCTGAAAATCACTCGTTTTGTCTACTTCTTCCACGATTGCGATATCCACCGCGTACACGTCAGCTCTAGCGGCGACAGCCCGTTTCATCGTGATGGCGTTGACGTGGACCGTTGAAGACTCAGGCGACTGCCAGCGAGGTAGTTCCACCCGGTTACCGCTACTTCGCACTGTGCAGCTACCCGTCGTCCAGTCGATTCGCGGGTTGTATCGTCGCAGCCAATCACGTCCCAGTAAAATGTCGTGCCCATCCAATGTCGTCGCGAGCATTTCCTGTGTAAACCCGAAGTTCCCCCCACAGCGCACTTTTACTCTCTCCAGTTTTTCCCGTATGGCCAGCGGCGTTCCGTCAACTAAGCGTGCATCTATCTCCGGTAAGCACCGACTAAGTGTCAGTTGCAGCTTCCTTGCAGTCGCGGTATTAACTAAGCTGTGACTTGCACCTCCGTCTATAAAGATCTTCACTGCTGCTCCCTGTATTTTCCCGTGAATCAGTAGTGGGCAATCCGTCGTTGTACCCTCCTTATTCGTCCGAGCCCGATCGATAGCGTGAATCGGTACTGTGACTCGGTGAGGGTCGGTGAAGTTGGGCGAGCAGGCAGTCTCGTCAGTAGTTGGCCCAACTTCTACTGACTGCTGGCGTTTCCCGGCCTCTGAGACTCTCGCCCCTGCTCTGTTCCGCGGCGCCTCAACTCCTCTGGGCATTCACTCTTGCGATGGCCCGGCCTATTGCAAGCAAAGCAGCGCCCCTTAAATGGTGCGGCAGCTGCATTCGTCGCAACGGCGTGTACGGTGGCGTGCTCGATCGGTCCCCGAGGACGTTGTCCGTAGTAGGACCCCGGTCTCGGTCGTCGTAGGATGTTGATTTTCTCGGCGAGCGCGAGGATCTCGTTGAAATTCGAGAGCCCGCGTAGCATAATTTCGTGCGATATGTCCGCCTTTAGCCCTCCGACGTAACGGTCCACCCGTTCCGCTTCGTGCATAGTGCGAGAAAACCGCTGGTGTAATCTTGAACCGACCCGAGCTGCCGCCAAGTGCGCAGCTTCTGACGCGCCAAAATCGAAGCCGCGATCGGCTCGAAACGCGCCCGAAGCCCTGCGCACCACGCATCCCACGTGCTGTACTGGGCTGTCTCGCAGAATGAACTCCAGGTGACGGCTGGGCCCGTGGGCCCGTCTTCTTGCGACGGTGGCTCGTAGGCGCGTGGCGACGTCACGATGACTCGCCACCAGTCCATGGCAGGGCCCCTCAGCAGCGAAACATCGTAGCGAATCTTCGCTGCGTCCGACTCGACGTAATTTGCGTCGAAAAAATCGTTCATCATGAAGACCCACGATTGAACCGCTGGACCCCCACGTTGGCTCGGGTCGAAACAGGGCGGACGCTGCGGCTTGAGTGGCATTGGTGCCGTGATGGCATACTCGCCACTTGTCGCCGCAAATTCCACGTGCCGACGGGCTTCGCGGGGCTCCCGTGGGCTTGGTGTGGTCCTGTTTCTCTCCATGCCAGGCATTGAGTGAGCGGCGCCCTCACTGGCTGCGCCTGAGTGCTGTCCCACGCTGTCGTTCTGTGTCGGTGTGCCGGAGGAGATAACAATCGGCTCTTCCGAATGTGCAGGTGCGTTTGTTGGTGCTGGTGCGTTCACTGTCGATTGTTGACGAGCGGAGTCGCGTTCCGCCGTGAGTGTGGCGATTTCAAGCGCCGATTCTTCGAGTTGGCGCATGAGCCGGTCGAGTTGCTCATGTGTCAGTGTCGCGACATTAAGTTCTGCCATGGCGGGGGTGTCGGGCAAGCTCAGCGAGAGCCTCTGTCGTGGCCGTGCGTTCTTACGAGAGAGCACTACGAGCGGCGGTGCTTGATCGCTGAGAGACGTCTACCCCCCCCCCCCCAAAAAAGTGATAGTGGGGAAGCGAAAGTGTGGGTGCGGTCCGAGAGAAGATCGTAGGCTCTGATAACCAAGTGTTACGAGTGCAATGGAGTGAGCGAGCGAGGATTGCACTATCGAGACAAGAATAAAATGAGCGAAGGAATGAGCGAAGAATATATAGCGAAACTACGGTGGTAACGGTAACGTGGGAAATTGGGGTGCGCGACGGGCCTGGTGCCGAGGTTGGGGAACTGTCGAGGCGGAGGTCCGGAGCGCGGGTTACCAACCGAACCGTGAGGTTGGGTCGCATCGTGAACAGTGGCGGGAATGGTGTCGAGGCGAATGTCGCGAGTGGTAACGGAATATTGTGGGGTGCTGTCAGTGTTGTACGCGCTGATCAGGGACGCGAAGTAAGGAAAAGGAATTTTCCTTACAATTTGTCTTACAGACTTCTTTCGGCACGGCAATTCGTATTGCATGTATTTCTACGTTGTGTTACCTTCCACCTATTTATACAACTGTTATTGTTTGTTGGATGTCATGGGATAGGACAGGTGAGGCCATGCCAGGTCAAAATGGTACCGGTAGTTCAAGCTGACAAGAGAGGCAGCCAGAGGTGCTGCAGCTGTACCGTAGTTGGAAAGACGCTTTGCTGCTCTAACTAAAAGGCAGAATCTGGCATGCACATACCTGAGGCCCTCTAACAATCTTGGAGAGGCAGCCAGAGGTGCTGCAGCTGTACCATAATTGGAAAGACGCTTTGCTGCTCTAACTAAAGGCAGAGAATGGCATTAACATACCTGAGGCCCTCTAACAATCTTGGAGACCTATAAGCAAGCATACTCGTTGCTGCGCTTACTTCGAGTTTAAAAAATCAAGCATTGTGGTTGCCCACGGAGAATCTGAGGAGCGAGAGTCCCCCTTTCGGGTTTGGTAGCTGTGCATTGGTAGTTTGGGCTGCTGAGAGCATGCAATGCTGTGGCAAAACAGCAACCTCTACCTCAGCACCATGACCGGCTGTAAGAGTTGCGCTTTCAGGTTCTCCCTATAAGCTGCTTCGAGACTGGACACCCCAAACACTCCCAGCAGCTTCCATCCCTCGAGCAGGAGCGGCATGCGGATGGGGCCGTACACCCGATGTGCATTGAACACCAGCGTGTCGTTGCCCACTGGGAGCCCCAGGAAGAAGAGCCCTCCTGGCTTGAGAAGACCCCTGATCTGCGCAAATGGGAGGAGGGGATGCAAGGGAATGGCACCAGCCGCAAGGGGCGGATATGTCAGAGGACATGCCAGTGAATGGAACATGGCAAATGACATGGCAGATCACATTGCAAATGACATGACAGATTACATGGCAGGTGACATGGCATATGACGTGGCAAGTGAAAAGGTGAAATGTTTTACTCATATGACACAACAACATATGAGTTTTGGGAGCGTAAAACCAGGGATGGCAGGTCTTTGAGGCGGCTCAAAGCAGAACGACGTAGAATGATGTGAGAGGAGATGCTTTAATAGGGGTAACATGAATGGTTAGGACACGCACGCATCAGCTGATGCAAACACGTGGCAGGATACATACATTTTCAGCAGAGATCAAACACATCGGAAACACATCGGAGGCAACCCATACCAGGAAACCGCATCCCATCATACGAAGCACCTCAGCAAACTTACCTTCTTCATTCTGAGCCGATCCCCATCCGGGTTTAGCGGATCGCCATATCTCCCCAGCCCATCGTGCTCCAGCGACGAATACGAAGCTACCACGTCAAAGGTCTCATCTGTGGCGTCCAGCTCAGCAATATTCCACAGCCTCAATTCGGGATAATCTGCAACCGGTTTGTTGAAATCAACGGTCGTGATCGACCCAGCCTTATATGCCAGGAGAATCGCCTCAAGCCAAGGGACTTGACTCCCCACCACCAGCACCGATTTCCCTTTCACTGGGTACTTATCAAACGCCTCGTAGAAAGTGAAGGTTGTATTTGCGCCGTAAGCAGAAACCTGAGGGAGTCGCGCCTCTGCCCGTTTCCGTCTTTGGTCGATATCCTCGGTCGGCCAAACGATAGGCTTCACTCCGGAGTCATGCTTATCCATACCGTAGAAGTGATCAACGGCTTGGATCGAACCGTTGACTGTGAACTCATTGCGAACGGACGGTCGAATGTACGTCCACGGAATGGGTCCCTGGAGGCCGTAGTCCCGAATGTGGAATCTCGAGGGATTCTGAGAGCCTTGCTGGTCACTGGCAGTGATAGTGCAGCCGTCAGATGGTCGGTTCGCACTGTCATTCCAAGAAGCCGAGTCTGCACGGTGCATCAGCGATATGAGTTATACAGAGGGATGGGGATTGAAGCGTTAGGCATAGTCGCGATGAGACTAAATGTGGTGTGAAAATGCTAGTACTACGTCATGCAAACAAAAAATCTTTAAGAGATCTTGTAGGGGTTGTTCGCTAAGTTGACAATGGGAATATGTGATGGTAATATTGTGGGTGTGGTGACGCCCTAAATGAACTAAAAAAAAAGGACAAACAAACAAAATCGAGGAAAGAAGAGCGACGCGGGAGCCGGGGCTTACAGCATTGGCTAGCGATTATAGTGGTGACGATCAGGACGGCTGACACGATTGCCGTCTGCTGCCAGTTGACCACTTTCGCCATACGCTCTGCTGCAGATAGCATGGTGAATGGCTGATGGTTGGCGACGTACTTTCTATGTATAGCTCGCTCAGATTGATTACTGATGAGTTATAACAGCCTCGAATGCAAGTGACCTTGCGTTTGTTCAAGTGCAGAAGTCTCAATAGTTTCGAAACGACTTGGAAACCCGAACCGCTACAATGAGTGCTGCAATGCTGCTGTTGTGAACGCAGCTGTATAAACTCTCGCGTCAACCAGACTGACCTTACCTGCTCTGGCTGTTGACCACTCTATGAATCTGAGAGAGGTACTTGTATCGTACTCCTCATGGCTTGGCATCACAAATCCGTCTGTAGGTGAAGCTCCGCCTGCTTGCTTGCTCAAGGTTCCCGCTTCATGAGTCCTGACCCAACTTGAATCCCAGGCCTCATCGTATCTCCCCTCTCCTTATAGCGACGGGCAACTTTTGGCAGTGTTGGGTTCAGAAGTTTTTTTTTTGAACCAGGCTTGCCAGCGCGAAAGTGCTGGCTGGCGAAAACCAGGATTTCGTGCGGACACTTTCCATCCGCAGTAACAGTTCGCCAGGGTTCTGGGTTTTGGGTGGCAAATGTGCACCGTCGCTTTATCACCCGCACCCGCAATTTCGGATTGAGTGGGACCAACGGCCACGATTAGGAGATGGAAATGTCAGTCTCATAGGGGCCGCCGATTGCTCATGGCAAACCTTTGCTTGGGAGGCTTGTCAGCCAACCAACCAATGGTGTCAGGTTTTGCCGTGTGGGCAAGGCCATGGAAGCTCGGGTGGTTTTCATGAACGGGAAACACCCCCTAGAGAGGTGTGCTATAAGTGACCGGAGTGTGGTGAGGAAATGTTCTGCGTCTGACTGTGGCTCGATTACAGTTTGCTTAAATATGATACTAGAGTAATTTCAGAAACCGGACTGTTGCTTCTCGAGAGGAAATAGTTAAGTATTCCCATAACACTGTCAAGAAACTGAATGAGAATGAATGCATTGAGCAGAAAGTTGGTACAAGTACTAACCCTACTTGGGTTGTACCCCTTATGGGCTACCCCCCACTACAGCGTACACAACATAAACATCATAATATTTTGACACACCCACATAGGCAAATTGGGGGAGAACAAGTGGTCACAAGACCAGTCAAGAAAAATCAAAGCAAGCTCATGGTGGATCACGAAGTCACCACACACTCCGAGCACAAGCAAATTCACGCAGTGGATAAATGAGGCAAAATATTCACAAGGCCTAAAACAGTACAAAAACGCTGATGATCACCAGTCTGAAGTGCCTTAGTGAATGTATCAGCAGTATTGGACCAAGTGGCCACGTAAGCAAGACGAAGCTGACCACGCTGCTGCATCTCTCGAGCAAGAAAGTAACGCAGAGCGATGTGCTTCGTTCTGTGCTCCAGTCTGTGCTCCTGACACAAGGCAAGCATGGCCTTGTTGTTTACGTACAGAACTGGAGAAGAACGAGGCCGCTCTCCCAAGTCGGTCAGCAGGTAGGTGAGCGAGCGTAAAGCCTGTGCAGCCATGACCCCTGCGTAGATCTCAGCCTCACAACTAGAACTGAGAACAGACAACGAGCAGGTAGACCGCCAAGAAACTGAGCCAGAGCCAAGGCTGAAAGTGTAATCCTGTGACGACCGCTACGTAGCCAAGTCGTCAACCCAAGACGCGTCTGCGTGTCCAGTGAGGACAACTGGACCCCGTCCTCCAAGCACGAGCCCCATGCTCGATGTACTGTACAAGTAGCGCAACACCATCTTAGCGGCCTCCCAGTGCTCTGGTCGGTGTCTCCCGGGCGCAACGTAGCATGCCGGGATGCTAAGAGGGTAGGCAAGGTCAGGTCGAGTGCAGGTCATCAGGTACATGAGACAGCCTACAAGCTCTGGATACGCGCCACTCGGCTCTACGAACTCGCCCGAAGGTGGAGCTGAGAGCGAGTGACCGGTAGGCAGAGGAGTGGACAGTGGCGAGGAGTACCGGAAGCCGAAGCGCTGAACGACTTGGTGCACCATGCGTGAATGAGTCAGGGTGATGGTGCGCCACGCTCTGTCTTGGGTGATCTGCAAGCCAAGATAGCTGCGCAGCTCACCCATGTCAGTGCAGGTGTGTCTCTTCTGCAGCTCCGACTTCACAAGGGCCAGTGCCTCAGTGTCAGCAGTGGCAAAAACCAAGTCGTCGACGTACACGAGAATGTAGAATGGCGGCAGCGAAGTGTCGGGGCGCAGAAACAGCGACGGGTCAGTAGTCGAAGGAGCAAACCCAAGAGTCGTAAGCGTCGTCCTCAATGTGTTGTGCCACTCGCGAGGCGCCTGGCGGATATCGTAGACTGGCCGCCGGAGGCTCCACTGGGTAACTGCAGGAAATGACCAAGTGAAGCCAGGTGGGCGGCGCAGCCAGATCTCCTCGTGCAGGTTGCCCTGTAAGAAAGCTGCGCTGAAGTCAAGAGAGTGAAGCTCGCAGTCACGCTGAGCGGCGGCGTGCAGCAGCACCCGAAGAGTAGTCATCTTTGGGGTAGGGGAGAAGGTCTGGAAGAAGTCAACTCCCTGTCGCTGTCTGAAGCCTCATGCAACGTAACGAGCCTTGAAGATAGGCGGAGAACCCGTCGGCCGCTTCACCCTGAAAATCCACATGCCATCGACTATGTTCGCACCCAAGAGGGGGAACTGCGTCGACGTAGGTGCCTATGGACTTCCAGGATGCCATCTCTGCGTCAATGGCTGTCTGCCACTAAGAGGAGTAGGGACCCGTAATCGCCTCTACGTAAGAGCGCGGGGTCGGGATGTCTGGTGCATCCGGGTCTCCCTCAGGTGCAAGCGGCATGGCCACGAGATGAGGTACAGCAGCTGCAAGACACTCAAAGTCCTCCTTCCTGTCCTCAAGGACGTCCGTGCCAAGAGCATACTCACCCCCGACGGACGGAGGACACTCAGACTCAGACTCAGCAACAAGACTAGTGGCGTAGTCAAGACGTCAGGGGGCAGCAAAGTAAAAAAGCTCAGCAACTAAGGCAGACGCAACAGCGGAATCAAATGAAGGGTAAATGAAAAAAATGGCTAGAAGACGTGGGACAGTAGTGCTGGCAGCACGAAATGAGTCAGAGGGCAGGGGAACTTGTAGTGGAACAGAGGAAGGACGAAGTGCCATAATGTGAGTGCTGGGGACAGGTTGAGGACGCGGACGAGGAACACGACGACCAGTGCGAACAGCGCGAACAGGCGAGGAGGGACAAGACTCAGGATGACGACACTCCGTAAGAGAGTCGGTCTGCTCAGCGTAAGGAGAAGGAGCGGGCAGTGGGGAGTCTGGCTGTAACTGTGGCTGTGACTGGTGAGGCGGTGGACACAGCAAGCTAGGAGGAAGGCGAGTAGAAGACGGAAGACTAAGAAACTGGCGAAGGACCGAGTCAAGAGGCGGCAGAGACGATGGTGGCGGCGGAACAAAAAATGGTCACCGCTGCACAGTGCCTCCAGCACCAGTACCGCCAGCTCCAGCACCCCCAGCGCCAGCACCTCCAGCTCGAGGGTCTCCAGCTCAAGCGCCTCTAGCTCCAGGGTCTCCAGCTCCAGTGTCTCCAGCTCCAGCGCCTCCACCTCCAGGGCCTACAGCTCCAGCGCCTCCAGCTCCAGCGCCTCCAACACCTCCAGCGCCAGTGCCTCCAGCTCCACGGTCTCCAGCTCCAGTACCTCCAACTCCAGGGTCTCCAACTCCAGTACCTCTAGCTCTAGGGTCTCTAGCTCCAGTGCCTCCAACACCACCAGCTCCGGCAGCTCCAATACCACTAGTACGAGCATCTCCAAGACCAGCAGCTTCAGCACCTACGGGACCTCTAGCTCCAGCAGTAACTCCAGCACCTCCAAGACGAGTAGCTCCAGCACCTCCAGCTCTAGTGCCTCCAGCGGCAGGGCCTCCAGCTCCGGCTCCTCCAGCTCCAGCACCTCCAGCGCTAGTGCCTCCAGCTCCAGGGTCTCCAGCTCCAGTGCCTCAAGCTCCATGGTCTCCAGCTCCTGCGCCTCCTACACCACCAGCTCTGGCAGCTCCCATACCTCTAGTACGAGCACCTCCACGACCAGCAGCTCCAGCACCTCCAAGACTACCAGCTCCAGCACCTCCAGCTCCAGTGCCTCCAGCGGCAAGGCCTGCAGCTCCTGCAGAGCCACTCCTAAGGCGTGTGCGCTGAGCAAACCACTCGCGCAGCTGCTACGGTGAGAGAGGCTCCCGCCGGCGAGACAGTCGTGGCGAAGTACCTGCGAGACCTCCGACAGACGCAGTACCCCTAGGCTCAGCACCCCCAGACTCCGCACCCTCAGACTCAGCACCTCCAGGCTTCGCACCCTCAGGCTCAGCACCCCCAGGCTCCGCACCCTCAGGCTCAGCACCCCCAGACTCCGCACCCTTAGACTCAACACCCCCAGGCTCCGTACTTTC